CGGTGTTACTAAAGTTGGAAAAATACTTTAAGAAAGGAGAGAGGAATGATTGAAAGAGGATGGCTAGTTGTGGCACTATGGAGATCGTTAGTCTTGAGGGGCAGTTTTGTTAGAGGTGGCAGTCCGATTAGAGAGGTTGAAGTGAGGAGGGAGGGAATTTTTCTGACTACAAGAAGAGACAACTTGGAATTTTCTAAAAGGGAAGCAGAAATTTGACAGTAGGTGTTGATGTAGGTTAAGGGAAGTTATTTTTCTTAAGAATGACATGTTATAGCATGTCTGCATGATATTGGAAGCATCCCAATAAAGGTGGTGAAAAAATGCGGAAGAAAAAAATTTACAGACACAAAGCCATAGAACAAAAGGAGGATGGGCGTCAAAGCAAAAAACGGAAGAGCTGACCTTTGGTAGCCATGTAATTCCATCTGATTGTGGAAAAGAATGTGTTAAGAAAGGTATTGTTGTCTATTAGGACCCTTTCCAAAATGACTACTCCCCATCTCTTTCCTCACCACCCCTTCCTGCTTCGTCCTCTCCCTGCTGACGATCTTGGATCATACTTCCCTGAGAAAACACTTATGAAAAGAACTCCACCACCTCCACCCCTTAGCCTGTTTCCCTGCCTATTACAATGGGTATTACTTGACTTCAGCACTCAGTTCAACTCCCTCCGGATGGATCGGTCCACACTACCAAGGACATTGCCCCATCCCAGGGACTGTACACAAAATTAATAGCACGCTAAGAAAAGAGACAGGAACCGTAATCCAACAGCTAAGTGGCAGCTAGATTAAAGTGGCAAAGCGTATTGCCACAGAGCACAGCTGCTACAGCCTGCCTCCAGCTGCTAAATGAAACCCTCAACTATTACAGTGTAGTTAACAGCTGGCTCGAGACTAAAGCAACGTGGCTTTGCGAGACTGGGCGGTGCCGGCCACCAGACAAAAACAAACAGGCATACGGCTGCAGCTGCAGCAGTCACGAGACTGTGAGCGGGTCGGCTACACTGCGCATGCCCAGGACGCAGTTTGGCGTAGGTGACCGGAAGAAGCGGCCGGACCAAAGATGGCTGCAGAGAAGTGGTCCGGAAGTGCTGCCGCAGGCAGTAGTTGCAACCATAAAGCCATGGAGCGGGTTTTACCTATGTTGTTGGTGCCGGTCCCCGCCGAGGCAACGGGGCGGCTGGGATCCCGGGCGCAGTTGCACAGAGAGCAGGAGGTTCTGGGGAGCCTGACGGCTGCAGGCAGCCTTCAAGTGCTTTCCTTGGCGCCAGGCGGCCGGGGCGGGGGTGGCTGCTGCCTCGACGGCCCCTTTCGGCAGTAAGTGCTGCGGCTGGGCGGTGTGGGAGGACTCCCAAGCCCTCGCTCGGCTGGCCCCAGTGCCCCGCTCCTAACATGGAGGTAGCGGGAGAGGAATGACAGCTGCGGGAACCCTTTCCTCGCCTTGATGCATCTCTGCACCCTCGCTTCCCGGTATTGGGTGGGCGGAGACAGCATCCCGTTCCTCTGCTAGCCACGGCGAACCTGGAATGGCTCCCAGTTTAGGCGCTGATTATTTTATTTAACGCAGGTTGATCAGTCGTCACTGCGCCGTGAACCTTGCCCACGTAATCCCGAGCTGGTGTTTTAACAGATTTATCTCTAATTGGAACCATCCTGATAACTTTTTTTTCCATAAACGGGCTTTCCCCCGCTTCTTCAAGGACAGCCTAGTTTTTACACTCATTTATTCGCTCAAATATTCATTACGAGCTTACTGTTACCTAGGAGCAGTGCCTAAAAAGTTGACTAAGACAATTCTATGTGAGGCTTACATAATTTGGGAATCCAGGAAAAAAACTGATCTATTTCTACTTCTGTAACTGTTGGTCCAAGACAGTTTTTAACATCATTAAGTTTGCTAGTGCCCTCTGAGTCTTTGGGTTCTTTTTATAATAGAAAACATTTTGTAAATGATCTCTTTTAGACTCAGTAACCAAGAGGTGTCTTACCGTGGAATGTCCAGGTCCTATAACAGTACTTGATAGTAGAGATTCGTTCGTTAAATGAGTAAATGCTTTAACTTGTTCTGTTTGTCTTTATTCCTGATCTCTAGTTGCTTAGGAAGAGGTCTCTCTCCCTAGGGAGAGTAAGTTTATTCAACAGTAATAAGTACCTATGAATACCCCTTTGCAAAGGAATGAGGCTGAGAGAAAAGCAAAACTCTTTAGGTGTTTGAGAACTTAACAAAAGATAAGACATACATGAATTAATGGGGACATTCATAAACTACTTCATGAAATTAGGGGGGAGTGGATCAAGAAGAGCTTTTTAATTTTTCTAATTGAACTGAATTTTAATTAAAATACTTCATAGGGTATTTATAGTATTCAGGGTTTAACTTCCTACTTTTCTAAATCCTTTTATAGTATTCAGGGTTTAACTTCCTACTTTTCTAAATCCTTTTTATATTGTTGAAATCACTGCATTTTATATTTTGTCATTTTCATTGAAAATTTCCTATCTTTCCACTTGGTAATAGTCTATGGTGCTAATGGTGTTAGTGGTGTCACAGTATTCTGCCTTTTAAATATATCTTAATTTGTTGAATATTTTCCATATTCAACATTTAGATTGTTTTCCAGATTTTAAGTGTAAACAGTAATTGGGTGTTAATGAAAAATCAGTCTAGGTATAAAGATAGAACTATAAAATGTGTTAATCTTTAATAAGGACATAACAGCACTAAGTACAGTTTTTCTCGATACAAAACTTACTACTGTGGAAAAAAGCTTTTTTAAAAAGTTGAAACTATCAGTATGGTAGCCTAATCTCATTCCATTGCATTGTTTTCCTAATTGAGGTTCTTTTATTTTTAAAACATAATTAATTTTTTTATTTAACTTGAAGCTATAGTATCATTAGTGTCCTTCCATCCTTGTTAGCCAGCGTTGGTATGACATTATACTGCTTTAAAAATTCTGTAACTGGGCTGTTCAGCAAGGTAGCCTTTAGCCACATGTGACTTAAAATTTAAAATTTATTTCTTCAGTTGCATTACTCACATTTCAAATATTAGTAGCCACATGGGCTGTTGGCTACTGTATA